GTATAGGACTTGCGTTATTGAACGCCCCTTGGGTATTTTTTTTATTTTTTTTTTACATTTTTGTTGTTGTTTACAAAGACAAACAAACAAGGCTTCTGAAGGAAGATCATAATGATTTTATCATCAGAACCATTTACAAGTTTTTAACATTAATACTTTAGCAAGACTAAAAAATTAAAATAAATCGTGATATAAAATGGAAATATAAATCAAACCACTCATGTCATATATAATTAAAAGTCTGATCTTATCGTCAGAACTTATAAAAACGCAATTATATAAATACATATATAAATATATATATATATATATATATATATATATATATATATATATATATATATATATATATATATATATATATATATATATATATATATATATATGTATATATATATATATATATATATATATATATATATATATATATATACAAAGTAAATACAGTAAGACATCTCTTTTTAATAGGCAAGTGATTAAAGATAGAACCGAGATAGAACCTTGAGGAACATCACAGGAACATCACAGATGGCTTTGGTTATAGCTATTAATAAAAACAAATTGCTTGCGGTTTGATAAGTAACTTCGAAGCCATTTTATAGTTATATAGTTTATTCCGTAGTATTTTAGTTTTTCAAGCAGAATTTCATGGTCGACAGTATCAAAAGCCTTCGACAAGTCAATAAAAACACCTAATGTAAATTGGGATCTTTGAAAAGAATTTGAGATTTCTCGTACAAATTGGATGATTGCATGTTCAGTGGAATTATTTTTTTTGAAACCAAATGGATTATTATATAAAAGATTATTGGAAACAAGATAATTGTATACTCTATTGTGCATAATATGCTCTAAGATTTTTGAAAATGTAGAAAGGATAGAGATAGGGCGATAGTAACTGATATTGCAACAGTCTCTTTCTTTCAAAATTAGAATAACTTTTGCAATTTTTAGTAGATTAGGAAAAACTCCTTGGTGGACAGATGATTTATAAACTTTAAAAAGAATATCTTTGAGATGATTAAAACACTCGGTAATGATGTCACTATTAATTCTATCAGCTCCGATAGCTTTTTTTTTAGTGATTTAAAGGCGATTTCGAATTCATCAAGAGATAATTCTGAGTATATTTTTTTTGAACAGTTGCAATCATCCATTGGTACTAAGAAATCATTATAGGCGATTCAGGTCAATAGAACTTTATTAGCTAATTTAGGGCCGATTTCGATAAAGTATTTATTAAATTCGTGAGATATAGCTTTTGATTCATGAATACATTTGCTATCAAATATAATCATTTGGGGGAGGGAACCTGAGCATTTTTTTTTGATTGCCGGTAATTTTTTTTTATTACTTGCGAAGTGCGCTTAGAGTTATCTTTAAATTTGTCTAATATTCTAGAGTAATAATTTTTTTTTAAGCGTTTACAAATTTTTTGGAATAAATATATATAATCTTTGTATATTTTTTCATTTTTAGATGATTTCGTTTTATGATACTTTATATACAACTTCTGTTTTGTTTTAGATGACTTTTTAAAACCAAGGGTTATTAAAATTTTTCATTTTAATTGTTTTTTCAAATATAGGAAATTTTTTTTTTTTTTTTTTTTGTTATTTAGGTGTCCCAAGAAGACGCAACGATATTGTCACAGAGCACCGCGGAAATGGATTTAACCAGGAAGTTCTCACCTCTTTTCTTACCGTGACGCAAAAATATGTTCCAGAGCTCATTTCAAACCTGGATCTCCTACTTATAAAGCAAGCGCTGTAACCACGGCCACTCAATATGATAAAAATTGTAAAATGTTTTAAAGAAGGTCTCATAAATGGTGTCAGCATTCCCCTTGAAATTAATATGATCGCAGTGCAATAGAGAAAACTGATTTTTAAAAAGATTCATATTAGTAAGATTAAAATCTCGAATAAATATTGTTATAGAATTATTATTAATCGAAGCATTTGATTTAAGAGTCCGAAAGATTGGGAAATGATCAGAAATGTCAGATTTTCAAATGCCTTTTTTTAGTTTTGGGTAACGGGAAAAAGTCTGTTGCAGATATTTTAAAAACTCAATTTTTTTCCCTAATGTATAAAACTTGATGTTATATTCGTTTGTAAAAAATCCTCTTGTTTTAAACAACTTTTTTAACTGTACGAAGTTGCTACACCGAAACGTGGAGAATTTTGAAAAACGACAGTCAACGTTTTATAAAACTTTAAACTTTTAACTTTTGAACCGCTTTGAGTTATGGTCTCAAATTTTCAGGTTTTTCTTATAAAATAATTTAAAGAAATCCCTAAAATTTTCAAGAAAATCCAACAACTCAACTATTTCAGGTTGCTGATTTTGCCTCATTCTCATAAAAAACGACTCTTATAAACAAAAAAACCTCAATTACGCTATAGCGTAAAAGAAGTTTAAAAAAATATTTTGGTGCCTTGAAAGCATAAGTTTTAAATAAGAAGAGCTTAGTGCTAAAATTGCTTAAGTCACAAAACAAATGTTTTAAGAAAATCTATTTTGATTAGTCATTTTAAATCCTAATTTTGAAGTGTTATATCTCTGATTAAAATATATTTTCTCATAACATTTATTTTGTGACTTAAGTACTATTAGCGCTAAGCTCTTCAAATAAATTAACTTAACGTTAAACATCATTGTGGAAAGTCAGAAACAGTGAATAATAAACTTAACAGATGCTATAGCATCGGTTGAGGCTATCCTTCTGTATATTGAATACCTCTATATACATCTGTATATTGAAGAATAAGGGAATATTGTTAAAAATTTGATGAAAACTTTGGTTGATCAACTGGTTTTTTGTTTTTTATTTTATTGAGTTCAGTTAAGTTCATTAAATCGTTTGACAAACTATTTTCTTCTTCATAATTTCTAATATAGGCTGGAAAATTCTCCAATACACATTTTTTTTTACAATACACAGCCAATATTTTTAAACCATGGAGGCATATAATATAAGATAATTTAGAAAACAATGTAATAAACATAAGTTCATCAACTACAATTGTTTCTGTAGCTTACAAAATACCGAAGTGTTGATTAATTTCTATCAAAAAAATGTTTGTCATTGTATATTTTGAACTGACACCCTAAAAAAATAAAAATTATTTAAATCATTTAATTTCTATAAATATACTGGATTCATCCTGGTTATTTGATGGATGACGGCTTTCTATCTTTTAATGTAGTTGGATATACTGATAATGCTATTTTTTCAGTTAAGCAATAAATAATTGGAACAAAATTTAAATCCTAAACTAGTGTTAATCTTTTGCTAATTTTTAAACATTTTCCATCAAAATATTTATTACAAACAGCTGAATTTTTACTGGGGTTTTAACTTTCGATTGATAGCTTTAAGTTATCAATCGAAAGTTAAATCGAAAGTTATTTTAAGTTAAACTTAACATAACTTCCTATTGATAAATACTACCCACTGTTTAAATAAGTAAGGATTATTTTCCGGTAATCCAAAATGTGGATGCTTTTCAGGAACGAAATCAATTTGATTCCCTCTTTTTTTATATCCAGTTTTATAAAAAACTACAGCACATGTATTTACCATACTATGAATATTTAAATAAACAATTTTATAAAACGTTTAAGAAAATCCGAAAGTTACTCTTTTTTAACTTTTCGCTCTTAAAAGATATCCGGCCGTGTAAATATAGTAGGCCATGGTTCAGGAGTATATAAACGATTTATCAGAGCCGCAACCACATTTTTCATATTAGAAGGGTTAGATTACATATTAAAGACCTTTTATATGTAATACCCCAAGAACTATAGCCTATAGTTCTTTTAATTTAGGGAGGAGATAAAATATTTATAAAAAATATATGTTTTTCCCTATTAATTATAGTTTAATAATTATTTTTTTTTTGGGGGGGGGGCTAGACCCTGCCCCCCCTCCCTCCTTCCCCGTGGTTACGGCTCTATTTATATATATAAATAATTTATATAAATAATTTATTACTTTATATAAATAATTTATTATTAATCATTTTTAAATAATATGTATGTAAACACTATTAATCGTATAAACTAAGGTTGTTAGAAAAGTTCTTAGAACTTTATCCATACAGTTGAATTAAGACACGAAATAATTAAATATTCTTATTTCATCTTAAACTGTATTAATTATAAACATAATTAATTTTTGAAATTTTTTGAATTAAAAATATTTTTGTGCATTAAAAATTTTTTAACTTAATTTAACAATAATTTCCCACCCATCAAACTCAAAAAAGCCACATAACCAAGCTTATTTAAAGTATACCCAAAAAAGAGCATAAAAAAACCTTTGACAAATGGCTTGAAAAGATGCAACTTTGTATAGTTATAGATGTGCTAATACATATTTCTAAAAAGTAACACAGCGAAACATGTTCATACCATGCAACTCTGTAAAACCATGATACAAAACTTGGCCTGAAAAAACATTTCCGCAAAAGCCGGATTTACGCATACCGCATAGTTATATATAAATTATTAGAATTTATTTTTCGTGGGATTCTATTACTATTTATATATCATATTCCTAGAAATTATCTTATTTGGGATTAAGAAAATCTCAATAAATTTAATTTTCTAATATTCAACAGTATATATAATATATAGCATATAAATACTAGTATTTTTTTACAATTACTACAGTTTTTAGAAGAACATTTAAAGTATGCAATAATATGTAGTTATTCTATTATCCTATTATATATAGTTATTTTATTAATAATATTAATTTAGAATATATCCATCGTGGAATTCAGGAAAATCTCTTAATTTTTAAGATATCATTTACTGATACTTTAAAAATCAAAAAATGCGTTATATACAGACACATCTCACGTTATATACATGTAAACATTTTAACACTATAATTTTTGTACATGCGTAGTGGCTGTTTGTTAAAGTATTCGATGTGCATGATTATTAAAAATTGTTAGCGTGTGTTTGAGGGAAAATAGTTATAAAGATAACGAGTGCTAAATTATAGAAAAATAAAAAATAATTTTAAAATAGGAAAGAAGAAAAAAATTAAAAAATGAATGAGTCAGATAACAGTTTTACACTTACAAAGTTAATTGAAAGATTGAACGAGTTATTTGATCATGAAAAGGTCGATGTTAATGAAGTTCAGAACGCTATGGAGACATATCAATCAAATTTGCCTGAGTGGAAAAAGTATGCTCATTTTGATGATTACAGGTAAAGTATAATGAATTGTTTTGGTTTTATTTTTAAGTAGGGTTATATATATATATATATATATATATATATATATATATATATATATATATATATATATATATATATATATATATATATGTATATATATATATATATGTGTATATATATATATATATATATATATATATATATATATATATATATATATATATATATATATATATATATATATATATATATATATATATATATATATATATATATATATTAGGGTATGACATCAGCCCCCTATATTCTAAAAAAGATTTGTTCATTTTCTTAAAACCATTTATTGGTTCTTACAAGCTACTTTGTTAAATATTTTCAAAATTTTAATGGAGCACCACCAGATTCTTGAAAACTTACCAACTCCCTAATGTCATATAAAAAAAAAAAAAACTTTTTTCAAAGTATTTTGTGTTGGGTCTCAAAAGAAGCAAAATTATATAAAATTTTTTAAAATAACAATCAATTTATAAAAAAATTTCTATTATAGAGTTTTTTGCAAAAAAGAAAAGACCTTTTGAACCTAAAAATGAAAAAAGTGTATTTTTCTAATGATTTTTTAAAAAAAAATTTAGGTAATAATTTTTGTATAAAATTATTGTTATTTTTAAAACTTTTATATAATTTCGCTTCTTTTGAGATACAACATGACATACTTTTGAAAAACTTTTTTTTTATATAATATTAAGGGACCTGGTAAGTGTTCAAGGGTCTGGTGCCCATCTAAATCCAATATAGTTGCTTGTGAGAACCAATAGAAGGTTTTAAGAAAATGAACAGATCTTTTTTAGAATATAGGGGGCAGATGTCACACCCTAATATATATGGGCAGGATTAAAAAGTCGTGTTTTCGAAAAAGAATGACCTTTGTAAACTAAATTGGAAGTTTAAAAAAATAAAAACGTTTAGAAGGGGGCAAGAATACTTTACAAACTACCTATAAATATCTATTTAATTTTGAGAAAAAGAGATTGTTAGTAGAATTCTACATTTTCAGTTATAGGCAGTAAAAACTTGATTAAAAATTTGTGTCATGGAAGGAACCTATCGTTTTTTCCGTGACACTAATTTCAATGGCTATTACAAAAAAGTTATTATTCCACGTGCAACATCTTTACCTGCAGTTAAATAGGTCTTTATAGGTAGCATGTTAGGTATTATTACCCCCTTCTAAATGTTTTTATTTTTTTGTTGTATTTCAAGTTTAGTTTATAGAGGTCATTCCTTTTGAAAAAGAAGACTTTTCAATTCTGCTTATATATATATATATATATATATATATATATATATATATATATATATATATATATATATATATATATATATATATATATATATATATATATATATATATATGTTCTTAAATGAACAGAGCAATTATAAATATATAAATATATAATTATAAATTTTTTTTTAATATATAGTTATAAATTTATATATATAAAAATTAAATAAACATGTTTTTCTAGTGATCTTAATGAAGATTTCTCTGGATTTTGATCTACATTATTTTTACTGCATTTTTTTTTTTTTTTTTTTTTTTTTTTTTTTGTTCTCTCTTTAATCTACAAAATTAAATTAGTTAAATTTCTTTTGTCTTGAAAGTTTTACAAATTAAAAAAGTAAAATTTGACAAAACTTTCAAAAAAAAAAAAAAAAAAAACTTGTTTTGCTCTTGAATGTTCTTTAAAAAACTTTTTATAGTCTTTAAATTTGTTTCAAGCTTTACAAGAATCTCGGAAGCGAACTTTAAGTTAAGTTTTTGTACTTTCGAAAGAAAAACTTGAGTAATTGCGTAAACGAAGCTTGAAAATTTCAGGATTGCGCTTGAGAAAAAAAGGCAAAGCGGGTGGAGGGCCAGGGGGCACGTGCCCCTTCCCCCCACTTATTTTCTAAAGGACCTTTTTTTTTAATAAAAATCTTGATATAGAGGACTTTTTTGACAAATTGATGATTGTGCCTCCCCCCCCCCCCCCCCACTTCAAACCCGTGTCGGATTGAAGTGGGGGGGAAGGGGGAGGCACAACCATCGAATAATAATTATATTTTAAATTTTAAATTTCCAAAAGCTAAATAAAACATGCTCACGTGATCACGTGATTATTTTTCCTTCCCCTTTCTGTTAATTTTGAAGGCGAGATTGGAAATGAGTTATATATTTTGGAATAGTATATCAAAGTTTATACTTTTAAAAATAAACTAAAAAAATGTATTTGAATTAAATTCGTAATTGTTGTCAGAAAGTGAGTTGATAGATTGAAGATTTTAAAAGTTTGTAAATTAAAAACGCAAAGACCTTGCTAATAATAAAAATATGCTAATAATTAGGACTGAATAAGCAATATTTAGAAGGGTCAGAGTGATCTTTAGAGTTTTTCAAAAATTGGAACCACAGATACTGTTTTCCAGTAAACAGGAAAACCAGACAAAAACCGACCCTGTAGGTCTATGTCTATGCAGGGCTGCCGAGAGGGGGGGGGGGGGAAATAATAAGAGCAGCAATTAGGGTTGCTGTCTCAGGCGGTGTGACGGCTCTCGGCGGCTCTGTGTCTATGGTAATAAACACCTAAACAAATATGTATAAAAACAAAAGTGTATAAATAATTAAATATATACATATTTTATTTAGGTATTTATGTATAATTCTATGGTAATAAACACCTAAACAAAAGTCAACAATTGTTAAACAGTTTAGATAATATTGAAAAGAGAATAGGGAACACTTTTGTAAGAATGTTATAGAACCTTACGTTGCAGAAGAATTTAGTTGTGTTTAGGGGTGGTTTGGATGTTTAACAGGGGATTAACTCGTTTTTTTTTTTTTTTTTTTTTTTTTCTGAAAAGGCAGGAAGAGTGTGGTCATTTGACATGAATTAGAGATAAGCTTCTTTGCATTTATTGGGTTAATTATATTTACGTTATTTTTGCATTTTATTGTATACTCAAAGATCATTTTGTAGAAGAGCAAAACAGGATATTAAATGACTGGTTAACTTTTTGGTAAATTCCTAAAGGAATACAAAGCAAGTCATTTTTTTTTAATTTTAAAACAAAATTTCACTGTTACATTTGCGCTCTTCAAACTGGAGTTGTAACGCCGTTTTAGAAGATGTAAATAAATATTGTTTTCAACGATATCCTGAATTCCCTACAATTTAGATCAATGCAAATACTTCACATGAAGTATTTGCATTGGCCAAACTGTCAGATTAATGCAAATATTTTATATGAAGAATTTGCATTGATCTAAATTAAAAAAAAAAAATTGCATTGATCTGACAAAAAATGCATTGATTGATTTAACAAAAAATAACCGCTTCTGTTTCAATACAGTTTTGCATTTTTCCTTATAGGAATATGCATTGCATCTATAACTAAAATTCTGAGGTCAGTTCAGAGGGTAAACCAATACAATTACAGCTATCGAGACTTTGATCAAGTAAAATTTACCTCTTACTATATGTTGATTGTTTATCTCGCTATGATGGTTGTGGGTTTAATAGACCCAAATGGGTAAATATTTGGCGATCTTTGATCGAAATGACAATCTATTCTCAAATTGAATGTTCAAAAAGCATTATAACAATAAATACTTATGATATAAAGAATTCTTTGTTAAATATTTCTTTAGCCAATAATAGTTTAAATTAATAACAAGTTCTTTAATAAAAACTAATTAATGGTTTATGCAAATATTTTTTAAACTTTAGAGGTATAATACTTGTTTTATTCATTTTATAATACTTGAGAAACGTTTCAGGTCTTTTTATTGTTTAAATAGATAACCTTAAGTTAGTTTCCATCGACATAGGAGGTACCATCTATGCACTTGCAAGCTTTAAATGCCAACGATAAGTGTTTTAAAACCTATTTGAATTTAAAATGCTTTATAAAAAAAGTCGTTATTTATTAAACAACGTGTTTTGTTTAATAAATAAAACAAGGTATTTAAATACAAAGAAAAATTACATTTGAAAATCTAAGCGTAACAATTTAAATTTTTATTTTTAACTGCTGTTAATTTTGATACTGGGGGACCAACAGTACTTAAACCGGCACTGGCATCTATGGTAAGAAACAACTAAACAAAGGTCAACCTAAAACTACCCAATAATCATTTTGAACAACAGATGCCATAAGAAAGGTATTCTAGAACCAACTATCGAAAGTTTCATTTGTGCCTTTCTATAATACAGAGCTGACAACACTGGAGGGGGAGAGGTAGAAGGGGCAGGCGCACTGTTATTTCCCCCCTCCTGCACTTTGTTTGCTAATGGATCTTTTAGAAGATGGCGATTGTGCCTACTCAACTTTGAAACTGGTGTCGTTGGTCCTGTAATAAATGATTGAGTCTTGTTCTTAAACAGGTAACAAAAAGCAAACGAAATTAGTATTTGAATTTGTAATTTAAAAAATTCTATGCATTTTATGCAAAGTCTATTATACAAAAAAGTAGCTTTTTTTAAGTCACAACGTTTACAACGTATACCAGGGCTTTACTTAGGTAACCCAAAAAACAAAAGCTATTATAAAAAAACACATTTATTATAACATTATTTATGCAATTTTTTGTAAAATCAAAAATTTAATTTTCAATATTTAAGATAACTAGCACCAATCACTAGTCACCAGTACTTGATACTACTGTTTTCCAAATGGCTAAAGAAGTACTAAATCAAATATTAAATCAAGGTAGATAAATAAAACACTGAGTGTTGTAAATAAAACAATTATTGACATTGATGACATTAATGTCATTTAATTATGAATTTACAAAATTAATCAAAGAAAATATATATGTAGAAAAATAATATTAAAATAAAATCAAAATGTCATTGACCACATCTTTATATAAAATAGTTTATATGCTGAATTTAAAAAATTAATACTAAAATTAATTACTATTATATCAAAAATAACTAATATTTGATCAAATCAAAATTATTAGTGAACTTACAGGAAGTTACTGCCGA